CACACACACACACACACACACACACACACACACACACACACACACACGTACGCACGCACGCACGCACACGCACACGAACACGCACACGCGCACGCACACGCACACGAACACGCACACGCACACGCACACTTCCGGACATTTTTTACTAATATGATTTCTCGACATTTTAGAACATTCTAAATCTACTTCCTTTAAAATTTCGAAAAATTTTTTTTTGCCATCACAAAGCTTCCTCTATGAGGAAGCAATTATACAAGCACTACTTTCAAGCACCAGTTTTTTCTTGAAAGTATACGTATAGCCGGGGCAGGGACTACGCCCTTCTCCTGCAAGCAGGGGTGGATAAGGGTGGACTTGTGTTTGCGTAGAAAGTTGAAATGACAGTACTTGTCGAACCGTACAATGACAGACCTTGTTTCGCCCTGTAAGCAGGGATGGGGTGGGATGGACCTTGTTTTGCGTGGGTGGTTCTCTGGACAGCATTATACAATTCAGGTTTTCAACTTTTAATTGGAGGAATTTGTATACAGGAGGATTTCGTCCAAGTGAGTTTATCTGGGGAGAATATGTCCATGGAGGGGGGGGGGGAAATTTGTGTAGAAGGGAATTTTGTCCGGAGGAATTTTGTCCAGAAGAATTAAGATCGGTCACCATCTAGGACTCTAATGTACTTACACGAAATAAAACTAAACTCATGACCTCAACAACATATGTCAAGGTCAAAGCCATTAAAGCTCACTCTAATTGGAAGCGCCCGTATAACAAATAAGACCCGCAATAACTTAAATAATTAAGCTCGGTATTCATAGTCAGATCTTATATTTAATATCGTCTTAAGTCTAGCCAAAAGCAGTCTTAAGACTCCGTTCAGCCAATGAAATAACCGTATTAGAGCATCTTAAGACATTACTGAAGACGGTCTCGAAATAAGATCCGACTATGAATACCGCCCTAAGTGTTAAAGTTTTGAGAAAGCTTTGCAATAAAGCTTGCTTATACAAATTTTCTACTGCATTTTTGTTTGTTTTTGTCCTGTCAAAAATTTTCAAATAATTATTTTTGCTATTCTTGGGCTAGATCTTTGTAGCCTTTTGTGTGTAAATTTATATATTTTTTATCACTCAGCAAACTGCGCATCGATTATTTGTTGGTCTTGAAATACAGTCTCATTGGAATAGTAAATTCATAATTACATTCAGAATTATATTCATAATGGAATAGTGAATTCATAATTATATTTACAATAGTTAAAAAGATTCAGCTCAACCGAAAATGGCACTTCTCTCTATTTAATTGTGAATTAGTTTTGTTATAATGCAAATATTAGCAATAAAAGCTTGCTATTTTGCGTCAAGAAAGTATTGTAATTTATGCAATGTTAGTTAGATAACGGTGCACATAAATAGAAAAAAAGAATGGTAAAGCAAAAGAAATAATGAAGGAGGGAGGTGAGGAAAATAAGATAAGCGAGAAAATTGGGCAAATTAAAAAGTGTATGCGTATAATCGAATAAAAAAATTGTTACAAAGAAACTATTTATAAAAATTTCTAATATACATAGGAGTGAAGATCCTGATGCCGAGGATGTAGGACACAAATGGACATTGTCAGCATTACTCAGGCACTTACGCTCGATGGGTCAAGATACGGAATCGCTTATGCAGCGAATAGAAGATATTATTATAAAGTCAATTCTCGCCACTGCATCTGGAATTGTCAGCGGTTTAAAACAATTCGTGAAACATTCCGAGACGTGTTTTGGTAATAATTTATTTTGAATAGCGTCTTCGATGTTTTAACGCAGTACCTATATAAATATAATATAATATGAAATGTGACTCATATGCACAAATACGATTACAATAAAATTATATTCTTAATAAGTAATATTAACGGAAAAAAACGATTGTCTTGTCAATAAGTGTTTGATATTATAAATTTAATATTAGAAAAAATAGAAATTTATAATACTTTATATCACGCGTATGCGTTTTATTACAGAATTATTTGGCTTTGATGTACTGATCGATGATACGTTGAAGCCATGGCTGCTGGAAGTAAATTTAACTCCCTCATTGGGATGCGATTCACCCCTAGATGTTAGACTCAAGTCAGCTTTAATAGCGGACTTATTTACTCTCATCGGCATAGCTGCTGTCGATCCAATCTTGCGCTCTCAAAATTTAAACCGTGCTGTAAATTACAATAAAAAGATAACTAGTGTAAGCTATCTCACTTTATATGTCTCTTAAATTATTCAAATTCTTTATCTTTTATCTGTATAGAATATCTTTCATCTGTATAGAATATATTCATTGAATACTGAATTCTTTATTAACCTTAAGATTATATTTATTTGTATATTCGAATTGTAGATACCTATGTGTTAAAAAATTAATAATGTTCTATTTCTAACAGAAATGAGGGAACAAAATATTTTTATTTGATCCTAAAATAGATAAAAGATAAACATATTTATTTGGAAACAAATAAAAGTATTGTATTAAATAGAAATATAATTATTCCATTAATGTATTATTAAAGTTTGACATATTTTCTTTTTCTTGTAAGCTATTAAAAACATTTACTATAAGAACAATTAGCAGATTGCGAGCAAATGGTTTTCTTGTTTTAGTACAGAAGAGTGCAGTCTGCAGAAACGTTGCCTCAAGGCAAGAAGAATATTAATAGAAATAATAAAAGCAAAGCAGGTTTAAGCTCAGAGCAACAACGAATAGTGGCGTCTGCAAAAGCGCAGTTCGAGAGAAGAGGCGGATTTGTTAGAATATTTCCAAGTCCGAAATCTTGGGTGCTCTACTCGCAATACTTGGGTAAATATAATTTTCTCTCGTGGTAATACATTCAGTGCGAGAAAGTATCGAGGCATTTTGCAAAACCAGCTGCAATCTCTAATAGTTTACTTATTATCAGTTCTATGTCTTAGATCCAATTACAGGTGCACCAATGATATCGGATCCGCTTGGTCCAAGGAAATTACCGCAACATATTAATATCAATCATAATTTGATGTTGCATGAACAATTGTTTCCTGCAGCCAATCGCGTTACCGGCTACATTATTCCAGAATTGACATTAGATAGATTGTCTAGGTATGCTGTATCATGAATTTTTATTTCGCGTGACTATAATTGAAGTTTTCTGCATTTTTACTCATTACGAAACTTATTACTCTTTGTATAGGCAATCAAATTTGTTAATTTTTAACAGTACAATACATTTATCTCCGATGATTTTGATGTCATGACCTTAATAATATGAGGTCATGATTAATATCTGAATAATATCAAAGTTATTGTAGGTGAATACATTACATTGAATATTTTTTTCAAATTCTTTATAGACAAGCTTATATAAGAAACTATTATAAAAAGTTACGTATCATGTACAACAACAACGAAAAAGAAAACAAAAAATTCAGCCCGATATCTCAATATTTACGAAAGTTAGAGCAACCACGTACATTTATTAAAAAATTCAAAATTTTTTTAAAAAAGAACCCTTTTACCGATCATCGCCAAATTCAATACCAACCTTCCTTGAATGATACTCTATCGATTAAAAAATGAATACGATACTATACAAATAGATCACGATGCATTGCTATAGCTTTATTTATATAACTATGATCACATAAAAGTTAATGATTAATTATTTTTTTATAGATATGAAAGATATGAAAGAGCATTGGTGAAGGGCCACAAACAGAGCTTGGACAAAGGGAATAATAAAGAGAATTTAGATGTAGATATGCACAAGTATAAAAACCAAGTCATACAATCAATGCAGGAAGGCAATAAACTTAGGTTTGTTATTAAAATTCATATGAGGAATGTCAATTATTCAAGTATTATGTATATCGCCAAATTAATTTATCTATTTTGTTATTCTTCTTTTCCTTCTTTTGTATACTCCTTTGTATAATCCTTTGAAAGTATTGAATGATGTTCCAGTTCTGGTGAAGCGAGGAAAGCCTTTGGTTTATATCTAGGTTACATATTACGGAAAATATCACAGCCTAATGCAGATCCGGGATGTTGCGATCTTGTTATGAAATTTCTTCAACATTCATCCTGCAGTTTGAGAACGCCATTTTTATTTACGGTACGTATAAGCTGTTTATATCTTGCTATACGTTGAATAAAATTATTTTCCAAAAAAATTATTTAAGGTACTTCAACAGTGACAAGTCTAAATTTTAGTTAAGATGTAGTCATTGTAGTCTAAAAACTGGCTACGAAAATTAAAAATGATAAGGTGCAGTCAAAATTTGTATATGAAAACCCTCCTTACTATCTGAAAAGCACGTAGCACTGCAGCCAGAAGTCACTCCCGGGGAGGGAAGCGTGGGCGGGCGATCAAACGCGTTTATTTTTAATCAAAATAAAATCTTTAAGTGCAGTTTTGATATTTTGTGAAGTTGTAGTTTTTAACTGTAGAAATTACGGAAAATTATTGCCAGAAGTCTAAGCCGGGGCTAAAACGTTGCCAGAAGTCGGTAAACTTGTAAAAAAATTGTTTAAATTTTGTTGCTCGGGTCTTTTTGTTATTTAAATATTCTGTGGACCGTGCCCTACCAAAATATGCAACTTACGATTTTGTTGCTCGCCCCTAACTGCAAATAACAAATTATTTATCTCCTCGTCGATCGTTATCAACGACTTCGATGGCTAAAAACTATAAAGTAAAAGAAACTTTTAGTTATAGATTTTAGCCATCGAAATATCGTAGATAACGGTTGACGCGGAGATAACTAATTTGTTTATTTGCAGTTAGGAGCGAGCAACAAAATCATACGTTGCATATTCTGGTAGAGCATGGTTCATAGAATATTTTAAGACCAAAGAGAGCCGAGCAACAAATTCTTATTGCAACAAATTAATAAATTCTATTTCTGAATTTAATTGATGACACATTTTTATATGCATATTTATTTTTGCACAATGTGTTTCAAACACTTAACGGTTTTAACAGTTCAGCGCTTACTCGGCATGATTATGTTTTTTTTTATGCATTTCCCTATCTACTATCTAGCGAAACCACTGCCAAGGGAACGGGCTTGGAAAAATTAGCGGGGAAAGAAGACCCTGTTGAGCTTGACTCTAGTCTGGCACTGTAAGGAGACATGAGAAGTGTAGCATAAGTGGGAGATGGCAACATCGCCGGTGAAATACCACTACTTTCATCGTTTCCTTACTTACTCGGTTAGGCAGAGCGCGTGCCCCGAGGGCTTCATGCCCCGGCGGTCACGGTGTTCTAGAGCCAAGCGTGACAGAGTGGCGTGAGCCACGCTCAACAGGGTCTTCTTTCCCCGCTAATTTTTCCAAGCCCGTTCCCTTAGCTTTCTGCAATTGCATATATAGTTCACTAACAGTATAAATAATAAAAAAAAAAAACAAATTGCTAGAACTGCACCTTATTATTTAAATTTTAAAGAATCGTTTTCCGTTTTACCGACTTCTTACGATATTATCATTTTTCACATACTTAGCCATCGTTTTGACTTCTGGCAATTAATATCCAATTTTTTTAAGCCTTAAATAATATAAAAACAAAATCGCCAGAACTGCATCTTGTCATTAAATTTAAACAATTTTTTTACAAGTTTACCGACTTCTGGCAACGTTTTAGCCCTGGCTTAGACTTCTGGCAATAATTTTCCGTAATTTCTACAGTTAAAAACTACAACTTCACAAAATATTAGAACTGCACTTAAAGATTTTATTTTGATTAAAAATAAACGCGTTTGACCGCCTGCTCACGCTTCCCTCCCCGGGAGCGACTTCTGGCTGCAGTGCTCTACGTGCTTTTCAGATAGTAAGGAGGGTTTTCATATACAAATTTTGACTGCACCTTATCATTTTTAATTTTCGTAGCCAGCTCTCCGTCTAATGGTATTCGCTCAATAGATACCTGAAAAATAGGCATTTTTGGGATTTTTTTAACTAAAAACTAGAAACTTATAATTTTGTATATGTATTTGTTATTATTTTATTAAAATTTTTACGCGTTTCATATAAAAATAACACAGGACCACAAAAAAAATTTTTCGGAGAGCAACTGGGACCGCAGTAGACGATTTTTATAGATTTTGGGTAGCTAAAATCGAAACAAGGTCCCATTTTGCTCTAATAACACGTCAGGATTTTCAAGAAAGTAAGGTTATGTAGGTGAAAAACAGCTATTTTTGGCGGTGTAACAGTGTAATCGACAGTCCGTTACAAAAAAAGTGTGCTAAACAAATTTAAAGCGCAAACATGACCTAAAAAAGAAGTTTGCGTGCATGCGCGTGTCGCATTGGTTACCGCCGGCGTTAGCGTAACCCAAGATGTACCACGAGGCGGTCGCACGGTCATGCACGGTCACGCCTACATAACCTTACTTTCTTGAAAATCCTGACGTGTTAAAGGCTGATCTACAATGTGCTCTTTGCTTTCTGTTTTTTGCTCTTAACCTCTTTGCGACTATCTCGTATTTCGCAATTCCGTCGCGTAACGTGATGTTTCTTGTCTCTTCTAAAGTTCGTCAATTTTTATCTTAAGCGACAGAGAACAAAAAACATCGCGTTACGCGACGCAATTGCGAAATACGGGATAGTCGCAAACAGGTTAAGAGCAAAAAACAGGAAGCAAAGAGCACATTGTAGATCAGGCTTAAAGCAAAATGGGGCATTGTTTCGATTTTAGCTACCCAAAATCTATAAAAATCGTCTACTGCGGTCCCAGTTGCTCTTCGAAAAATTTTTTTGTGGTCCTGTGTAATTAATATTTATTAAAATGTAAGGCACGATTACGATAACTTTGGCCCTTTAATTTGATGATGGTTTCTGTTAGTATTTTTTACGCTGAACAAAAAATTATAAGGTCTTATAGGGCTAACTGCTCTAGTTTTCGAGATATACAGTGTTAAAGTTAAAAATAAATAAATTTTTAAATAATGCTTTGATTATGTGTATAAACAGTACACATATAAGTGTAGCCGGGTTGGGTGAGGGTGGATTTCGGTTTATGTAGACAGTTGAAAACCCGAACCCTGTACAATGATAGACCTCGGTTCGGGGAGAGTACGATTTCCGGGGCGCCCAGATTTGACTGTGGTTTCTGGTAGTATTTTTTACGCTGAACAAAAAATTATATAGGTCTTATAGGGCTAACTGCTCTAGTTTTCGAGATATGCATTATTAGTTAAAAAAAAAAAATTATTATTCAGTTTACACCCCTATAATGTATCACTTGAATTTTTATGAATATAAGTATATGTATTAAATCTTCGCCTTACTAAACAGATGAGTCTACAATATACTAAAAATATTAATACTGAAAAGATTGGCGAGGCCCCGTACGCAAGGTAGGACGTTCCAATCGAAATGATATTCTTTCAGCGTATAGATTAGTGACGCGCTTTAAAAGTTTAAAGCGCGTCAACTAACCTATGTAGGGCACACATATATGTATGTGCCCTGTTTTAACGAAAATCACAACTTCTATAAAGCAAGCCGTACACACGTTTGTGTGCCCTGCTTTAACGAAAATCACAACTTCTATAAAGCAGGGCATACACACGTGTGTGTGTGTGTGTGTGTGTGTGTGTGTGTGTGTGTGTGTGCGCCTTGCTTTAACGAAAATCATTAAACAGTTAAATACTTTTAAAGCGCGTTACTAATCTACATAGGTTAGTTGACGCGCTTTAAACACTTAAATACTCAAAGAGTTTATGTGTTAGAAAGTATAAATATAAAACACGATAATATATTATATCTAATAATTAAAAAAAGTAAAGATTTATATTATATTTATTTTGAGCTTTAATATATCTGCATATCTCGAAAACCAGAACAGTTAGCCCTATAAGACCTATATAATTTTTTGTTCAGCGTAAAAAATACTACCAGAAACCACAGTCAAATCTGGGCGCCTCGGAAATCGTACTCATCCCCTCGGTTCGAATGAGGTAAACTTCGGAAAATTTATTTGGTCGGAATTTTTTTTACTATTTTTTTCGTGTTCCTCGTCAAAAATTCCTCCAAATACCACTAACATTTTGAGGGGCCAAAGTTATCGTAATTGTCCCAAATGTAAAATACAATGTATCATATCGTTCCGAAATATTTGTTCTCATCAATGATTGCCATGATTGAGTCCGTTCTAATTACGGCAAATAAAAAAGTTCAAGTTTATTTTCATTATTAGACTTGTCTCTATGTGGGCTTTCCGTTGTCCCCTATCATTGCTGATATTGTTTTTAGATTTTTAGAGAGAAAAGCATTAGAGATTATTGGGATTTCTTTACTTTTTTACTTTAGGTACGTTGATGATTGCTATGGCAATTTTCCCTTACAATCAATCAATAATATATTTAATATTTACAATTATTTCTATTCTCGGATTCAATTTATAATTGAAATAAGTATTAACAAGCTAAATTTCCTAGATGTTACGATTATTAAAAACAATTTAGCATTTGATTGGTATCATAACTTACATTTTCGGGAAGATATTTTAACTTTATATCTCAGCATCCACTCTCTCAAAAAAGAGGCACAATAATGGGCATGGTATATAAAGCATTCTTATTGTCACACTCAAAGTTCCACTTAAAAAACATCAAGCTGATAGTAGACATTTTGCTAGCGAATAATTATTCATTGAATTTCATTTTGATACAGTTAATAACAATAAAATGAAGTCCTTTTTTAACGAACGAACATATAAGCAGAGCAATGCTAATGCCACAGAGAACAATAAAAATAAACTTCCTTGGTTCACGATTCCGTCCAGCAATTTAGGAAAAATTCAAGAATGTTACCAAAGATTTAGATGTCAGATTGCTCTATTACAGTCTTAACAAACTTGGAAACTTTCAAAATCCATAAAGACACTCGGTTTAAAGAAAAATGTTGTGTATAAAATATCCTGCAAAGTTTGCAATGCATTCTATGTGGGATAAACGATGAGACAACTTAAAAGAATCTCAGAACATTACCCTCATATTTGCAGGAACACAACCACTCTTTCCGTTATTACGGTACATAGAATCAACCACAACCATGAATTTTATGAGAATGTAAAAATTTTAGACAATGAAAAATTTTTATTCAAAAACGA